CCCTCCTCTCCATCCTCCCATCCTCTTCTCTTCCTCCTCCTTCCTCTTCCTGCTCGCCTTCATCGTTCCTCCTCCGTGCTCCTTGTCGTCTTCGTTTTCTCATTCTCTCTAATTTCCTCCTTCTCGCCTTCCTCTCCTTCGTTGCTCCTCTCAAGTTTCCTCCTCCTCCTCCTCCTCTCCTCCCCCTTCCATCTGCCGCTCATCATGAACAGGTCTTGCCGTGCACACCGACTGGGTCACGACCTCGGACCTGCGGAAGAAGGAGGAGGAGGCACGCAAGGAAGCAGAGAGCAGGGACATGGAGGAGTGGACCAAGAAGATGCACGCCACCTACGAGACTCCGACCCTTCCTCGTCAGATGCCCCCGCACAAGAGGAGGGCTGGCAGGCCTGCTCTCCCCCTCAACCTCTCCATCCACCCTCAGGCCGTGCAGAGGAGTCTGTTAGAGCAGGGAAGAGAGAGGAGGGGAGGGAAGCCGCGCGAAGAAGAGTTTGTGTGCGAGAACGACAGGGTCCCGCGGGAGACGTTGGAGTTTTACCATGACGACATCTTGCGGGAGAGAGATCGATCTCTTGCACTTGAACGGTTGAACAACAAGTATCAGGGATATTCGAAGATCCTCGCATGTGAAAGTCACTTGCAGCAAGCATGGTCAGTGTCATCCTACTTTGATGATGATGATGATGATGATGATGATGATGATGATGATGATGATGATGATGATGATGACAACGACGATGATGATGATGATGGAGATGATGATGATGATGATGATGATGGAGATGATGATGATGATAATTCAGATGATGATGATGATGTGATCCAGTTGCTTCATCTGCTTCTGCCGCTTGATTGCAGTCGCACTTGTTGCTCATGGAAAGACGAAGTTGTCACAGTCATCGTCGATGACGCTGGTGGCGCAGGTTGTGGGAGCTCGAGCATGACGGTGATCAGCTCCTCCCCAAGGACTGGGTCCAGACACACGACGGGCAGGGCAACGTCCTCTACTGCAACGTGACAACCAACGAGGTGCGACGTCACCGCCCCGTGAAGGAGCGAGAGGGAGGAAGAGGAGCGGAAATGACCCAGGACCACTCGCCTCCTTCCTCCGACAACAAGTCCCTCGAAGGCTTCATGGGGTCGGAGATGCTGCGAAGAATGGTGACGCTCACACTGCCTCCTGCTCCTGCTCCTGCTCCTGCTCCTGCTCCTGCTCCTGCTCCTGCTCCTGCTCCTGCTCCTGCTCCTGCTCCTGCTCCTCCTGCTCCTCCTCGTTCTCCTCCTCGTTCTCCTCCTCGTCCTCCTCGCTCCTCCTCCTCCTCGCTCCTCCTCCTCCTCGCTCCTCCGGCTACTGCTCCTCCCCCTCTTCCATTCTGATGTGCCGCTGCCGCTGCAGGAGAGGATGGAGGAGCACAAGAAGGAGATCCTGGCCAGCAGGAAATTCACAGAGAAAGTGGAGCATCTTATCGACGAGGCGCTTGCCCACGGGGCTTCGCTCCAGCAATTCTGCAGGCGGGTGAAGGGATCGAACCAGTTCGACGACAAGCAGCTGCGCTACATCTTCCAGATGGCGAAGCAGGAGATCCGGAAAGTTGATCCCAAGGACGACCCGATCGAGGAGGAGGAGGAGAAGGAGGAGGCTGCAAGGAGAAAGATCACCTTCCAGGAGCCGGCAGAGCAGGTCAAGGCAGCAAGGAAGGCAGAGATCTTGAGCATCGAGTCTGGGACTTCCGACGAGGACACTCCTGCTCCTCCTGCGCCGCCACCACCCCACTCTGCGAGCGAGAGGCAGGAGGAGGAGGAGCGGCAGTATCCCTCGCACTCGCGGGTAGAGGAGTGGGTCACGAATCAAGTCAAGAGGGAGCATGTGGCGTGGGAGGCCGACGAGGTGCTGAGCGAGGTGCTCCCTCCTCGTAGGATGCCTCAAATTCACTCCTCGTCCACCTCCCCGAAGGCCAAGGACGCAGCCCCGCACGCTCCTCTCCTTGCTGCCAACTCCCAGGCGTCGATGCGCATGGCGTCTAGAGGAAGGGGGTCTACCAGCAGCTTCAACTTCTCCTTGGAGCGAGTGAGATCGGGAGGAGGCGCGGGGGTAGAGATGCTTCAGATCGTCTCTCCTAAGGACACCACACGCCCTTCAACAGCCTTCAGCGCCGCCAGCACGGTCTGTGCCGAGGACCATGTTCGAGTCAGAACAGCGAGCGGGAGGAGGCTCAAACCTCGTGCCTTCGGACTCCTTGTGGACTCGAGACCCGTGACGGCTGCTGGGGGGATGCGACTGGCTCCTGTCTCCCCTCAGATGGAGGCCGAGCTGAGGCCCAGAACTTCGATGGTGCTACGGAGAATCGGGACTTGTTGACTCAGCTGGAAATTTGACTTTCTGCTTTCCATCTCTCTTGCTTCCACTGACTCCTTCTCTCCTCTCTGCGGACTGTCACACTGTCGTCATTCGATCTTCGCTATACTCCATGCTGATTGTTGTTTCTGTACTATTGTTGCTGTTGTACACTGAAAACATTCTTTTGTAACTAAACTTTGCTGTAAATTGTCGGATAAACCATCAACTTCTTCTAAACAAAACAGATACGATAGGAGTCGTCTCACTTTCCTCTCTCTTCTCGAAGCTTCTGTTCCTCCTCTCCTCTCCTCTCCTCTCCTCTCCTCTCCTCTCCTCTCCTCTCCTCTCCCCTCCCCTCCTCTCCTCTCCTCTCCCCTCCCCTCCCCTCCTCTCCCCTCGCGTCCCTTCCCCCCCTTTCATGAGATACACTTTGCCGAAATCGGGGAGTTTGCCGCTAAGAGGCATCAGGACAGAGGGGGGTGGTCCAAAAGAAGGGGTACTTCACCGGGAGGAGCCCTCAACACCCAATTTACAGGTGTATTTTCAAGTAATAACAAGGGTGAGGGGTAGTGTTGATGCAACGGTTGTATACGGGTGGTAGAGTGTAGGGGGTGGTCGAGTGGTGGGTCGACCGTTCTGCGTCCGAGGGGGCCATGCTTGGTCCAGCAGTTGCCCTGACGTTGGCATGCGCGATGGGAGGATCGAGTTTGATGCAGGAGAGAGGACGAAGCAACGGTCCCCTCACACTGAGCAGCTCCTGCTTCATGCACGGCCCGACATGCTGGTCGAGGCCCCTGCCGCGGCTCAGCAGGAGCTCGACGAAATCTTGCAAGGGAAGGGCCCCGACGACATGCTCTCTAACTGCGGAGCAGGAGCAGGAGCTCAACGAGCGGAGGTTCATGGAGTGGCTGAAGGCAGAGGGAGTGAGGATGGCCGATGTCGAGCTCTCCAGCTTCGGCGGCATACGGGGAGTGCGGGCAGGGAGCGACCTTGTCTGCGGAGAGACCCTCGCGTCCCTCCCTCGGAAGCTCACTCTCTGCGTTGGAAACCATCAGCCCTGCCCCTTCCCTCAGTTTGTGAGCGCAAAATTCTGGCAGCTGAGCAGCATGCACGTCAGGCTGGCTCTTCGCCTCCTCTTCGAGATGCAGAGAGTCGATTCTCGACTTGCGCCATGGCTCCGCCTCCTGCCGCCATCGCACGCAGACAAGGCATGCAGGTGGACAGAAGAGAGGATCGAGCTGCTCGCGGTGAGACCCATTGAGTGATGTTGGAGTGTGCGGTTAGGATGGAGGAGAGATCGAGGGGATGGGAGCGAGGAGCGAGGACGAGGACGAGGACGAGGACGAGGACGAGGACGAGGACGAGGATGAGGATGAGAAGAAAGAGGTAGACCGTGTGGGGAAGGAGAGCAGAGGAGTGCAGTCAAGGGGGTGAAAGAGTCGATGGAAGAGGGGGAGGGAGCAGGAAGAGGGTGTCAGGGGGAGGAGGCTGACGCAAGGGCAGGATCCTGCCTTAATAGAAGACATCAGCAAACATTCAGAGGCTATTGACGACGCCTATCGCCTCCTCCTCTCCCTCTCTCCCCAGAGCTCGATACCACTCGATCGCTTCCGGTAGAATCTGCCGTACTTGTACCCGTCGGAACCTCCGCCCATCGATCTGCCTCTGTTCCTCCCTACTTCCTCGCTCCTCCTCCTCCCTCCTCCTCCTCCTTCTCCTTCTCCTTCTCCTCCTCCCTCCTCCTTCTCCCGCCTCCCCCCGCCTCCTTTTCCTCCCCTGTCCTTGCGCTCTTCCTTCTTTCTTCCATCCTTCCTCTTCCTCTTTCTCCGCTTTCTGCTCATCCTCTTCTTCTCTCTTCCAACCTTTGTCCTGCGATGTGTTCCCGTTCACTTGCTGTTGTCTTCTCCTTCCCTGATTTGTTTCTTCTCCTCCTCATAATTGTGCAGATGGGCAATGGACACTGTGATCAGCCGTTCATTTTATGGGCCGGTGAGAGATAAAGATGATGATGATGATGATGATGATGATGATGATGATGATGATGATGATTTTGTACGGAGAACACAAATGTAAAGGTCATTAATCTTTCTATGAGCAGGTCCAAAGAATCGTCAAGGAGGGTGTTTGGACTAGAGGAATCACGACGATCTTGTCGGTCATCGGCATGAAATATCAAAATCTCTACTTCCTATCCCCCCATGTGAGTGCTCTACTATTCCTCCTTTCTCTGCGCAGCTGCTTCGTGTTTCATGGTCTCGATCCACCTCCTCCTCCTC